GAAGCCTGGGGTGCCCCTGCTCGCGGGCCCCGCCACCCAGAGTGCCACCAGCAGCACCAGCAGCTCCAGCTCCCACTGCTCGCCCAGTCCTACCTCATCCCGGGGCACCCCCAGTGCAGAGCCCTCCACCAGCTGGTCCCTCTGACGCCGGGACCCCGCATTCCACTCCCCACTCCTGCGAGTGAGGGACGTAGACGCGGAGATTTACCTCATCTCATGGAGCCCACGCTGAGCACCACCTGGCCAGACGCTGAGTTGGGACGATCCGGCGGTCTGTCCAGGCTCCATTCAGGTCCTGCTGTACTCCGGGGCAGGGAGAGCTGGAGGGGCGGGACAGGGCAGTGCTGTCCAATCAGGGATTGCCCTGGAGAACTGGGCAGGTCTGTGGGCGGCCGCTTCCTCCAGGGCTCCTGCCACCTCCCACCCCGGGGCACAGTGTATCGACAATCTGAGAGCCCTCCATTCCCTTCTCCTTTAATTTATTTCCCTTCCCTGCCTTCTGCCATGATGCAGTGTCCCTGGTCTTTTTCCCTGCTCAGTCCCTCAATATTTAGTCCCGTATGGGGCTGCTCAGAGCAGGGAGCACGCCTTCACGGCCCTTCCTGAGTTGGGGATGGGGCCACCTGGGCTCAGCTTGTTCCCTGTCTGTTCCAGGGGTGTGGGCCCCACAAATTCAAGTTTTGACTCAGTCCTCAGGGCCCAGGACTATGGGAGGCTGCTATGGGGGAGGCAGAGCCCTGGCTCTGCCCCCCAGACCTCACGCTGCCCACTCGCTCCCGTTGGCCAGCTCTCCCAGGACCAGCCCCCTGTCCCTTGCCCCTCTTCTCCTCAGGGGCAATCTCAGCCCCGTCACCCCAAACGTGCCGACGTCAAGTCCACTGAAATACCTCAGATTTGTAATTGTTGGTGTTTGATTCTTCAGGAAGTATTTGCATCTCTGGAATCTTTTTTATATGTGTTTTGTTGACTTCTTTTTTTAATTTTAAAGTTTTATTGTCGTCATTGTTGTAGTACCAAAGAAATGAAAACAGATCACCCCAAAGCCAAGCAAGTGGTTTGGTAGCCCTGCCCCTCGGGCCCTTCCCCAGAACCCCAGTGAGGAGGCCGGGAGGCAGGTGAGCCGCAGGACGGGTGACTCAGGGATCACAGGCAGGAGGCGGAAACGGGTCAGGAGCTGAAGACGGTCTGCCCGCTCTCCTGCCACACCCCTACCCCCAGCTGCCCCGGGGGATGGGGGACACGGAGACAGCCCTGTCTGTCCTCTGGCCCCACCTCTGGGGCACAGCTGCTCCTGGGCTGTGAAGAAAAGGTGATTCTTGGCCATGACTCACTCCTTAGCCGAGGAAGCCCCGCGGTCGTAGACCACTCCCACTGTGATGTTGGGGGGCTGTGGGACAGTGGGGTTCTGGGCGCCAGTCTGTCCTGTCTGGGAAAAGAAAGGGCGCCAGAGGCTGGGGCATGAATAGGCCCCACGGCCTGGCGAGCCACAGCTCCGTGGGACTGCATCTGCACTCTCCCCTCTCCCAGGCTCACGTGCATGCACTCACATTCACGCATGCACACACGTGGAGATGCGCGCACACAGATCTGCTCACAGCTCTCAGATTCACACACGCACACAGATGGCAGACTCATTCGCTCACACCTTTATGTGTGGACACATGCAGCCCACCTGTTGGGGGCTGGTCCTCTCTGGCCTGACCCACTAGACGAGTACAGGCTGTGGGCAGGGAAGGGCCCCCACATCTGGAGCCCAGGAGAGTCCTGGTGGCTGGTGCTGGGTCCACTCAAGGTGTTGCAGCCAGTGGGTCTTTCTCAGGGGTTTGGTCAGGACAGACTCCCCACCTGGCAGAGGCAGGACAGCACACTGGGGCTTCCAGGCCATTGGGTCCTCCATTTCCCAGGCAGCTTGCTGGCCTCACCCTCCAAGCAGCCCTCCCTGCCCCAGGGACAGCAGCATGGTCTCGGCCAGAAAGCCCAGAGTGGGTGCCAGCAGCACTCCAGGTGTGGGCCCCAGCCCAAGTGAGCTCACCCCAAGTGTGTCCCAAAGGCCACACGGAAGGTGGTCAGCCAGGGCAGCCCGGCCAGGAGGGAGGTAGCACACGGGCAGCCTAGGCGGCACGAAGCAGCCCGACGCCCGTGCAGCGGTCTGTATGTCATGGTTACTTTCTATCTTCGTGTTCTCGAATGTTTATATTTCAATAAATCTCTACCTCTTCACACAAGTAGCTCTCTCGGTGCTTTGAGTGTCTCCCGCTGGATGAGATGCGAGAGGCAAGATCCTTCTGCACAAAAAGGGACTGGCCGAGTGCTGCCCTGACCTCGGTTTCCTTCAGTCTCCCCTCTCCCTGTCCCTTCCCTGATGCACGCTCTCACTTGTCTTCTAGGTCAGCAGGCTGCTCTGGCACTGCCCAGATAGCAAACCTTTGCCATGGGGTCAGACGCTAGGGGAGGAGAGGCACGAGACAGAGACCTGGACCTGGCTGGTTCTGCAGGAGACAGCACAGCAGGGGCTCCAAGTGTGTGCAGGTAGAGCAGCACAGGCCCTGGGCATCGGGGAGGCTGCCCGCAGGTGGGGATGTTAGGGTCAACTGGAAACGAAGACGAGCTTTGCCAGCAAGAGACCAATGATCACGGCAGCTCAGCATCAGGGGACCTGGCGTGGGAACTGTGGTGTGGCCAGCAGCAATGGTGGGGACAGTGTGGGTGAGGCCAGGACAGACGCCAGGCCAGGGCATGAGGTGCCATCCTGTGCGCCTCCAAGGACGTGTTAGCCATCGCATGGACTCACAGTATTCCAGGAAAGGGCTAAGGTGGACCGGACCGCACGTTAGGTGCAGGCCCCAGGACACCGCCACTCATCTCGGGCCTGGCCCATGCTCAGCCTGTGCTGTGGCTCACACGCTGGCTACACAGCCAAAGGATGCTTCCGCGTCTGCCTCTGTGCCCTCTGCCTTTGTGGTGGGCGTGCGTCTGTACGTCTGCGTGCTCTATCTGCACATCTGGAGTGTGCATGAGTGCAATGGGCACAAGTCTGTTTCTGCACTCTGTGAGTGTACATGTCTGGCGCATATCTGCGTGTGTGCATGTGCACGTCTTTCTGCACAGTATGTGTGTCTGGGCATATCTGTGAGTGTACACGTGTGATGCATGTCTGTGCATGTGCACATGCCTGTATTTCTGTGCACTGTGTGTGTGTGTCTGGGCACATCCATGAGTGCACATGTGTGATGCATGTGCATGTTTGCACACATCTGTATTTCTGCACACTCTGTCTGCCTGTGTGCATGCATCTTTGCCAGGAGGAAAGGTCGCTGGGCAGGCTGGCGTCAGGGAATGAGGCCTGGGCTCCCAGCCTGCGACGTGCCCTGTCCACCTCTCACAGGAAGCCCATGCCCCTCTCTTCTCCTTTGGCTTAGGGGTTGTGTCCAGCGTCCCCACCCCTTCTCGTCCCCGGGCCTTTGCACGCACTGTTTCATCTCTCTCCTCCTGGGTAGTACCCGTTCATCCTCCTGTGAGGGCTCAGGGCTCAAACCCCCTCCCTGAGGACGTCCTGCCTGCCGCCCCCGCCATCAGCTCTCTGCTCTGCTTGGAAAGCTGTGATTGCCTGCTCGGTGGCTCCTCCCACACAGTGAGCTTTTGGGCCAAGGTGTGGCCTTGCCAACTGGCCGCTGCCACAGGGGAGGGCATATGTGTAGCGGCCACATGCATGCCACGGAGCACACAGAGTGCTGAGGCGCACGCTGAGGGAGGTGCAGGAGCAGGGGCCACCGAGGGACGCCAGCTGGCGGGCAGTAAGACAGGCCAGGGGCCAGCCGGTGCCATGGCAGTTAAGGTGGCTAGATCCCACATGGCCGACTGCATGGTTCAAGTCCTAAATCTGGAGGCTTGAGAAATTCGCTGGGTGCATGTGTGCCCAAAATCCCAGAAGGAGGGAGAGATGGAGGAAGGAGGATTGTGATGTGGCCATTCCATGGGGCGTACTAGCTGTCTCCCCACCAACAGCATGCACCCTCTGGCCAAAGGAAAAGGGGGCCAGTGGGGAAGGCTCCGAGTAAAAGGCAGTCCGAGTGTCCAACGGGCGAGGCCAGGCCAGGCCCACTGCCCCACACCCTGTAGCTCCGCCCCTTCCATTTCAGGATTGTTCTGCTGGTGCCAGCATGCCTTCCAGTCCTCTGCCAGCCCTTGTGAAGCCTGGGTTGTGAATCTGTCCTTCCAGTTCTTTCCTGAGGGTGCTAGTACCTCCTGGGCCTGGACTGTGCTGGTCGCACAGGCAGTCCGGGCACTCCAGGCTGTGGGTTAGCCACCTTCCTGAGTTAACTGTCCTCACTTTCCCGACTGAGGAGGAGAGGGCAGAGATTCCCCCCCACCCACCTGCTGCACACACTGACCCTCTGCCCTGGGCACGTCTCCTCCACACATGCCAGTAGCCAGCAGCCTAGGTCCTCGCCCCCCACCCCACAGCCAGCTCTGCGCCCAGCCACAGGTGTGGGAGATGGACCTGTAGCCTAGTCTCCCACATCCCACAGGCTCCAGAGAGCCGGAGTGTGGCACCCAGGAGCCTGTTCCGGGGAGGGAGCTGCCCTGGCCATGTGATGCGGGTGTGGGGCTCTGGCTGCTCCCCCACCTCCTGCCAACAGAGCCTCTCACCCTGTGAGAACAGGCACCCCCAGCGTAGCCTCAGCTCCCGGGACTCAACCCTTCCAAGACAGTCTGTTCACCACAGCCCCCAGAGGTGCCTGCACACTCCGTGTGTTAACTCTGGCCCTGGCCCTGTTCACGTCGTGCACAGGGAGCAGGTACGTGGACTGCCCCGTGAACGGTGCTCTCTGGCACTGCGCTGTGGGCAGGCCTGCCCTCATTTGTCTCTCCTGATCATTTTGCTGTCTGTGGTGGCCCTAGAGCCCCTTGCCCAGCCTGGGACTCTCCGAGGAGCAGGCCCAAGCTCCCTGCCTCACTGCCTGGCAGAGAGCATGGGCTCAGTCAATGCCCGGGTTCCGGGGGGCCGGCCCTGCAGCTGTCTTGACCCACTGGCCCACTTCGCAAGCATTGGCAGCCACTCCTGCAGCGGGAGTGAGTCCTGGGCCTGAGCAGGGACCCAGTGCCCCCATCCACACTCCATCTGGGCCCTGTAGCTCCCAGGCCCCGGCTCCCTCCAGGCTGTGCTCCTAGACTACAGGCCTGCACCAGTGTCTCCTGCAGATCACTCGGTCCACGGTCCCGGGGTCTCCTGGCATCTTGGCAGACCTTGGGTGCCCAGCCCCAGTTCTGACCCTGAGCAAGCTCCTCCCTGCCCTTGGCTATTTACCCATGTGAACCAGGAGGGGAGTGGCTGGAGGATCCCGAGGCTCTCATGTTGGATGGGGTCCTCTGGGCTGGACAGAAGCCTGTTCTGCCCTCTCCCCAGTGAGTGCTCTGAGAACGAAGGACGCAGGGCTGGAGGTGTAGCAGGTTACCCACTTGGAGGTGGGCTCTGGGGTCATCCCTACCCTGGGGACCCAGGCTGGACTCTGGGATAAGGGGCTGTGGGCAAAATTGCTCCAATGCCCCCAGGCCTTTCCTGCTTCTGTCTGCAGGAGCAGGGTCCTGGGCAGAGAGGCTGTTTGCCTGTCCCCCACCACCCCTGCTCCCCCTGTCTTCTAAGCAGAGTTCTGACTTGCTCCACTCCTAGCCCTGGAATCCCTGCAGCCCATGCCTCCTCCTCCAGGCAGGCCGCAGGTATATGTGTGGGGGCTGGCAGAGGAGCTTAACAGCAGCTCAGAGCACTGTAGCCACTGGCCTGGCCTCCAGTCCCACCCCCACAGGTGGGGCCTGCAGCCTCCGATAAGGCAGGCAGACTTTCAGCTCAGGCCCGGCAGGTGGCCAGGCATGGACCTTTCCCTGGCTGTCATACAAGGGACCGCACCCCATGGCTCTGGGGGTGCCCAGCTGTTATCTGTCACCACAGGCTCCAGACGTGCAACCTCTGCTCCAGACAGGCCTAAGCTGAGGCTGCTCCACCCAGCTGCTGGCCGCTTCGGGGCTGAGGAGTGAGGGGACGAGGGCAGTCGTGAAAGGCCAGAGCACAGGCAGGTGGGGGGGAGGCCAGCTGGCCCTGGGCTCTGGGAGGGCATGCAGGCACCTGGAGGGTCAGTTGTGCTGGGTCACAGAAGGCTCGGGTGTCCAGGCCATCACAGGGTGGCTCTCCCATGGGCAGGGATGCTGGGAGCCTCCCCGGGAAGCCTGGGCTCGCAGAGCCATCATCTGTCTCCCTATCGTCAGCAGCAGCTCTATCATCAGGGGCAACTAGAGCTCACACTTGGTGGAGACTAGGACCCTGGCCTACCCCCTGCTTAGCCACGCTCCCCGACCCCGGGACACCGTTGAGGTGACTGCCTCCCACGGCAGCCTCACTGAGGACTCCTGCCCCTTTTCCTTCGGATGCTCCAGGCCCTGGCAAGCTTTCTCGCCAAGAACACACTACCAGACGTGGGTACCAGCCCTGACCACTCTGGGGCTTCATCCTAGTAAGTGACCTTGGCAGTAAGGGACCTCTCTGTGAAGGCAGCACCAGTCTGGAGACCCAGACGGGAGCCACTCTGCCTCAGGCCTCAGGGCTACCCCAGCCTGCGCTCCCCTGGGCTTGCTCTGCCAGGGCCTCCAGTGCCACTGCAGACAACCAGCCCGCAGGACCCCCACCTCCTGCTCTGGAGGTGTCACCACCTGCAGGTCCTTCTCTGACACATCCAGTTCCACTGAGCCCCATCTGAGCACCTGCTGGGGAGAGGAGCCAGCACTGGTCCAGACACCAGAGGGTGCTGCACCCAGTGGGTCCTAGCAGTCCTGACCTCCCAAAGCGCCAGCCTCAGGGGTGCCTCAAATGAGGATTAAGCCCAGGGTTGAGCACCCACAAATCCTTCCACCCTCACCCCTGCCCAGGAGACTCTGACTCACCAGCTAGGCCCTACTGAAGCATCCTCACTGCCACCCCCTTGGGCCATGGGTGTGACATAAGCGGGGGCGTGGGGGGGGTGTCTGTGGGGTGCTCTGGTGGCCGCCTGTGGAGGTGCGCCCTTCGGTGTGCTCAGGCAATTGCCGTCTGGCACCGGAGCCCACATTTCCAGCTTGGCTAGCCCGTGGTGCTGCCCCTGCCTGGGTGGCAGTCGTAAGGGCAGGGCTAGCCCAGATGTGAGGGTCAGAAGCTCTAGGTCCAGCTGCTGCTCTGGCTGGGCCCTCCATCTCATGCAGCTTTGCTGAGGGGGGACCCTGACCCAGCCCCCACCAGATTGGTGAGGGAACTCAAAGGGTACACAGGGGCACTTGGCTGGTGTTGCCACCCGTCCCTTCTGGGGCTTGGGCCTGAATCCCACCTGTTGCCTCCCCAGCCCTGCGAGGGCACAGGAGGAGGGCCTGTCTGGGCAGAGGCTATGCGGGGCACCTTCCCCCAGGCGACCTAGGCTTCTGGTCCTCACACCTGGGCTGGCTCCGGAGGCCCCAGGCGGTCCCCAGGGCTCTTCCTCCTGTGAAGGGCACAACTCTGAGACAAAGTCCCACCGGGTGGGAACCGCACCAATCTTGGGGCCAAAGGCAGCGGCCCTGGCCCCCCGCTGCGCACTGGCGGGGCTAGGAATTGCACATCGGGGGTGCAGGGAATTGGAGAGACCCAGAGGCAGTCTCAGGGCTGTTGTTTACTTCGGGTACGGACGGTGGAGGTAAGGATGATTTGGGGGGACCATCGAGCACCCCTTAAGCGACGTGCTCAGACCCCAGCTTCAGAGGAGCCAGCGGCAAGGGTCCGGGACGCGGCAGGCAGCAGGAGGGGCGGTGCCTGGAGGAGACTCCGCCCGCCCCCGCCGCGGTTCCGAGCTCCCGAGTGGCTTTGGGGGGATTTGAGGGCACGCCCCGCCCCCCTGC